TTAATTTAATGAGTGGAAATGGAAGTGTATGGTTCGTCCTTCGTTCTTCTTTGTGCTTATTGCCCATTCTTGGTGTTATCTATGGCAGCATGACAGTGACATATCAGCTTATACTTACGAGCGCACCCTGATGATGGAGCAAAGGTCCCAGATGCTCCGGCACATGCGACTGTCCAAAACAGAGCGGGACAGAGAGGTGAGAGCCTCCTGTTTTCATGAAATCTTGGCCCTGTGAAGTCTTCACTGAAAGGAATGATACTATATTGTTTTCCTAGAATGGCACATTCTTCCCTTCTCATTTTATCAGTTCTTCTACTATAACCACATTATTGTTTGAAAATAACTGAAGCTGAAGCATGAGAGGAAATTGGGTATCTATACCTCTCATAGCTGTGTTGGGCTCTCCTCAGGCACAGTTGGTGAAAGACCGGAACTCAATGCTTCGATTGACCAGCATTGGCTCTGATGAGGATGAAGAGACAGAAACCTATCAGGAGAAGGTGCACATGACTTGGACAAAAGACAAGTACATGGCATCCCGGGGACAAAAGGCTAAGTCAATGGAAGGATTCCAGGACCTGCTTAACATGCGTCCGTAAGTTTTGCAGCTCACAAGCTTATCACATAACGTGGTATCCTAGTCAGTGGCACATATGTAACTCTGCCTGGATACACAGGATGAAGTCTGTTCTTCACATCACCCCAGATCCAGCCTCTCTGTTACTTGCCTGTGCCTGTCAGCTACCAGTTAGTCTTGTACATAAGCTAACCAGCCTTCTTTCTCACCATACTGTGTTCATGGCATAAAAGAAGCAAATGTAGAATGAGAAAATCCAGGATATTAGCATAAGGAAAACATTTGTTCATTACATTATTCATAACCAAAGTAAAAAAGCTCTGTATTTCATGGTGTTTAAAGTTGACTGTGTGTCTAGCTTTCTCTTTGCCTTAACCACCTCTGTTTCTCCCTTCTACCCATCCAGGGACCAATCCAACGTGAGGCGGATGCATACAGCAGTGAAACTCAATGAGGTCATAGTTAACAAGTCCCATGAAGCAAAGCTGGTTTTGTTGAATATGCCAGGGCCTCCCCGAAACCCTGAGGGTGATGAAAACTGTATCCTTTCCAAGAGCGGAGCTACCAGTAGGGAAGTCGTTAGTGGTTCTGAGATGTGACCACTGAGTAGCCTTGACATCACTGTCTGGGCCCACATTCGTTCTTGAGAAGGGAAGGCTTTTGAAAGCCTTAGGCAAGGATTCTTACACAGCAATGAGATTGAGCCCCTCTGGGGGAGTTGGGTGTCCATAGAGAGACTCTTGAGGTGGTAACTCTGCAACATGATTGCTAACATTCACAGTACAGAACTCTTTCTGAAACAGTCCTAGAGACACAAGACCCACATCCTTTTTCCTTTTCAGGCTTCACCCACTTTGCAAAGCCTTTCTTGTGGATGTAGTTAGGGGACAAGCAGTTTAAGTGAAATCTTCTCAGAGGGGAAAAAGATAAGGGTTTTCCTCATACCCTCATCACACCTCATTTTTTTTATGGGCCCCCTTCAGAAATGCAGTGGTGTAGACTAGCCCTCTCCCATCAGTACCATTAAGGAAAAGAGATTAAGGAAGAAAAAGAACTGGCAGAGAAAACTGATTTGAGCAGCTCCCTTAGAAATTACTTGGGTTCTCTAGCAGTCTTAGGAGCTGCCCTGTGTGGGTCTTCTCTTTTGGCTTATTTTACTGTGTTGTACACACACATTACTTGTGAGTTCCCTCATTTGCAAAATAACATTTAGAACAAAAATCTAACAAATGAAGGTCTTGTATTATGTATGCAAAAGAACTAGATCCCTGAATTAGTTCATAGGGGTTAACCGAATCCAGAGTTCAGACTTCTCCCATTCTGAGCAGGTAATAAATAATTAAGACAAGCATGTTAACTTTGCAGCGTTGTAGTCAGACAAACCCCAGTTCACATGACGTCAGGCTGTAAAGTGTGCTCTTCTCCTTGACAAATTCTGAAGACATGGAGTTCCTAGAAGTGCTCACCGAGGGACTAGAGCGAGTCCTGCTCGTCCGAGGTGGTGGCAGTGAAGTGATCACCATTTATTCCTAATCTACTCCTGAAGTCTCTGCCTTTCTAAAAGGCCTCCCCTTTCTAAAAGGTTTCTGCATAGAAGGCCAGCTCCTTACTACCACTTCCATCCAGTAGAGGCTGGGGTTCTGTACACAGCACATTGAACTTCTTGACAGGCTGAGCCTCAAGTACTTGTGCAGAAAAGTACACGTCGTTCTGCTCTTTGCTACCATACAATCTCCAGTCCTGACAGGAACAGCAGGTATTTCCTCAACTTCAGAACACTGGTCAAGTCCTGAAAGCCATGTCTGGCCTAGCTGAAGACAAATTAGAATTAACAAGCTAAACTATTAAAATGAATTGGCAAAAGGGATGCTAGAAATTCAGCTGAAGACAAAAAGCAAGTTACATGTCCGATATTAAAGGGGCATCTCCAAAGTCACAATTCAGTGATGACATCATGGGGGTAAAAGAGACACAACTCATCGTAATACAGACTACATGGCTAAGTATGTGGGGACCTAACATCGTTGTGGGATAGCCTGTGGCAAACCAAGATGAAAACCTTTTTTAGCTCTTTTTCTTTGATGTATCCACTTCTCTCAAGGACTCTGTTTTATATTAGAGTACTAATATACAAACACTGAAACATGGCTGCAGCCTCTAATTCTTCCTTCAAAACAAGATTCCCCCAAAATACCAGTTTCAAGGACACAGATTGTGTTGGTCTACATGTCAGCTGGTTCTCAAAATCCATTCCATGGTTAACATTGTAATACAAGCATTGTTATCCTGGAAATTGTCTTTTAAAGGTGGAGTAAAAAGAATATCTTTCAGGTTTTCAAATGGCCAAATTAAAGTTAACTCCAAAAGGTAGCTATTAAGATCTACTGAAAGTCTTTGGTTGCCTGTGTGTCGTGGGCAGTACATCCAAGCGGTTACCTAGGACATCTAGGTGATGATGCACCTTGACCAGTAGTTTCTCCTTTCTTTTTTGCCCTCTGGGTTAGTTGACACAGGTCCAGAATCCTAGGAATAAAGACTAGCTAGAAGACTCACTGAAATCCCTGAAAGCTTGGGACTGTGTTTTAAAGGGGGAATCTAGCAATGGAATTTGAAGTTCTAGAGCCATACTCCTTCCATAGTGCCAAAGATTGAGCTGCTGCTACTCTCCCTGCCTGCTTCACTGAAGTGGCACAGGATTGGCACTGGCCTGTCAAGAAACTTCTTTTTCACTAAGAAACTGTGGACTCATTTCCAAAGCCATAGCAAAGACATAAGGCCCTCAGCTCACCTAAATACCCAGAGTCTGAGCATTTTTCTTTTTCCAATTTTATTCTTCATTGGGACCGTAGGAACTTGGCTCTGAACTAAGATTATCCAAGCCAGCAGTCCTCTCCTATCCCATTTGCTTTCAGAAAGCTCTCAGCGTGTCAAGGAAATACTTGTGCAAGCTTAGCTTTTTATTTGCTGGTCGTAAAACATTCACTGGTTGTCTTCATTTACTGGTCATAACACACCAGGCTTTCAAGCATAGGGAAACTGCTTCGATTGGTAACTGAAAATATGTGAAATGTTCATTTCTTTTATAGGACAAGTATTTAGAGAAACTATTTTGCCTGTATTCATGATCACTTTTATCACTTTATTAATGATAAATAGTGCCACTCTTTTTTTCCGTATCCTACTGGATACGGAATAAGCAAACCTAGATATCGGATTATTCATTTGAACCTTATAGACAGAGGAGAAAACCCTTCTGTATGGCTTAGAAATTGAGTATTTTGTTTCCTTTGTTCTTTTTTTCCAACCTCAAGACCTAGTCAGGGTAGCAAAGCAGACATAATTTTAAGTTTTTCCTGCTCCTTCCTGTAGAGGGTAGAGGCATTGTTTACAGCTTCCACTGTAATACTCTATTGTTTAGTGGAGTCCACGGTAGTGGGACAGGTACCCTAGGACCCAAAATATTGAAGCCCTCGTGCTTTAAAGGTCAGCCTTCCCAGGAATTCCTCTACATTTATATACTTCCTCTCACCAAAGTGGTTGATGCATATGTATTTTTTTCCATATAGAAAAAATATGGGCAGAACAATGTTAGTTTTAAAAGAGCTTTTTGTGGTTGGAGCTCTATAAGAATCTTTTTAAAGGGATAAGGGAGTTAATAATATCCCTTTTAAAGGGATAAGGCTATATTAAAATAGCCACTGCTTTAGCCTCTAAAACATAAAATCAGCATTACTTGGGAAGATGGTTATTAGGCCAGATTTAAACTCATCTCTGTCTAGAGCATTTCATGTCCATGTGTTGCTTATGTTGTTTGTGAAGTGTCTTGTCTCTTCTAATCACTGCAAATAAAGCAATACTGAAAACTTGATAAGAGAGAATGCACCTTAGGGGAAGGGAAGGGGCTTTTGTGTTTCAAGAAGGAAGAGAAAGGAAAGACCTCTTCCTGCCTCTTGACTAAAAGCCAGCTTTTAAGTCTTAGCTATGATTTACCAGGGCAGGTTATAACAATGTACATTCTCCAGTTGCTGGCCCTCTGCCTTCTAAAGCTATCTTAAAAGCTGAAGTGTGAATTGCAGCATCTGCTTGACAGGTGCCCAGTTCCTCTTGGCAGGGGAAAGATCACTCCTGTGTATCTTCCTTTGCCTCAGATTCCTGTGGCCCCAACTAGCGCACCAATCCTCACTCCCCCTAAATGTGTTAAAAATCCATTATTGTGGATATTAAAGTAGCAATTATACTGTAAGCATATTTATGTGCTCTTTTTGTCTGGTTTTTTTCATCATGTATAATCTGAATCCAGCATTAGTTTCTCACATCTTCCACAAGTGTCTCCAACAGAATTTTTATGTTCCCAGGTTGTGTTAGAGGTGAAATAATATAGAGGTGAAATAATGAAAATAGATTTAAGGGAAACTTGTGCAACTTTTTTTTAAGCATTGTTCTCGACCATTTAATTTATTGAAAGGAGATGCTGCTGTGGTTCTTTATTTAGCAGCAACCATTCTTTTGTTTACATAGAGTTACAGTTTTATGTGTTGTTTTGCTCTGTACTGGAAACATAAATAAAGTTTTCTACATTATTTTCAGTCAAGGGCTGTGGTATAGTTTCTTTGTGTTTGCAGTGATAACATATGTTGTCTTTCTGGGATTGTCTCCTCACCAAGGAGTAAAGAGAGCTTTGGGTTCTCTTCAGCATAAGTGCTAACACTGAGAGTTAGTGTGCTGGGAAAGAGCCTACATAGGCAGCAGGTGCTTCTTTCTCAGGTTCACAGAAGCAGTCCTCCACCACTGAACTCCATCCTCTGAAACAAGAAAAGGTAAGTAGGTGATTGGTGAATGGGTGTTGAACTAACTCATCACATACTTTATCTAATCACAGGCTCTATTTCGCTTTATCCTTAAAATAACAACTTCCAAATTCCCAAGGGATCTTTATTAAGAAATAAGCTCCGATACCTCAAATCCCTCACCATCCAATGGGTCAGCTATTTACAACTCCCCAAAATTTAACTTTTCTTTTGCCTTACCTCAGGGGGCTCAATGAAGGCTAACCAGTCTGATGCATGTGTAGGCAGCAGTCCCATTGACTGGCACTTATAAACAGCCAATGCCAAACCCATGAGGTTTCCAATGAGATACACCAAACCCTGAAGAAACTTCTGGCTTGAACTTTCTAGCATCTTGAAAGCTATTGGGGTAATAAAAAAGTGTCAAAACCAAAAGGACTTTTTTTTTTTTCCCACATGAATCAGGCCGTATTTTAAAATAACATGGAGCAACCCAAACTAAGCAAATAGGACCACTAAAAGTGAACAAGAAAACATAAGCTCCATTTCCCTCCTCCAGGCCCTCACCTCTACCATTACCACCCTGCACACCCTCCCCCTGGCAACCAGCTAAGAGACGTTCATGGGTTTCACTGAGAATTTGTCTTTAATTCTTAAAACTAACGGAACGGTTGCTGTATCAAGAATACTTACTGGCTGAAATGGCCATAAGTGCCTGAATGGGCCGCCAAGCCATCATACACACCATCATAGTAGGGAAGATGGAGATAGTATTGCCTGCCATGTACATGATGAAGAGGTTCATGGGAATCTGTTTGAGGGGCCCCAAGGCGATATCCCAGCAGCGCTAAAACAAACACAGTGTTAACCTATGATTCTATCCTCAGTCCCCCCATTTGTCGGATCACCAGCATTCAAATGAACGCAGTGCCCAATTCTGTACTTCTAAGCAGACTCCTCCGTTCTAGCACCTCTGTCTGCCCTTCTCCATGTTGCCATAGGAAACTTGCTCTTCTTCTAAAGCTAAGGCATCCTCACCATTTGTTATGTTTTTCCCCACTGATTTTCTTTCCAGGTGGCATTTTTTCCCCATGATCTGGCTAAAAAAAACCAGACTTCCCTACTTTTGTTCTTGTACTTCTGCATCTCTCATTGCCCCACCTACAACTGAAGAATGAGGTAAATCCATAGAGTGGGAGATTAGCATACCTCAATCAGTAAAAGAACAAACTGACAAGATTCAGAAGACCTGAACAATATTATGAACAAACTTAACCTGATATATACAGGACATTGCACCCAACATTTGGAGAATTCGCATTCTTTTCAAACACACATGGGACATTTACAAAAGCTGACTGCTTGCTGAGCCTTGAACATGTCAACTCTCAACCCAAACAGTACAAAGCAAGTTCTTTGCTTATGATGCAATTAAGCTAGAAATCAGCAACAAAAAGGAAACTGAAAATTCCTTACACCTTGGAATTAATAAACGTCTAAACCACAAATCAAAGAAGAAATTAAAAGGAAAACAAATATTGTTAACGGGGATCCCTGGGTGGCGCAGCGGTTTGGCGCCTGCCTTTGGCCCAGGGCGCGATCCTGGAGACCCGGGATCAAATCCCACGTCGGGCTCCCGGTGCATGGAGCCTGCTTCTCCCTCTGCCTGTGTCTCTGCCTCTCTCTCTCTCTCTCTCTCTCTCCCTGTGACTATCATAAATAAATAAAAATTAAAAAACAAATATTGTTAACGGATAACAAAAATGCCACATATTAACACCTGGGGGACACAAAGCACTGAAAAATTATAAGACTACAAATAAGCATCTATTTTGCAGTTTTTAAATTCCAGCTAACACACGGTGTAATATTAGTTTCAGGTGTACAATATAGTGATTCAACATTTCCTTACATCACCTGGTGCTCATCACAAGTGCCCTCCTTAATCCCCACCGTCTGTTTCACCCATCCCCCTTCCCACCTCCCCTCTGGTGACCATCAATTCCCTATCATTAAGAGTCGTGTTCCTTGGTTTGCCCTTCTTTTCCTTTTTTTCCCCCCTTTGCTCATTTGTTATTTAAATTTCATATATGAACGAAAATCATATGCTACTCTCTAGGTCCATCCATGACACTGCCAGCATTTATTTCAAGAAATTATAAAAAGGAATAGATTAAACCCAAGGAAATGAAAAGGAAATAAAAATGAAAAAAGGAATTAATGAATTGTTCAACAAGGCTAAAGGTGGTGGGGTTTTTTAAAGATTAATAAAAATACTAGTGAGCCTAATGAAGGAAAAAGAAGAGAGATTCAACAGTGAGAATAAAAGAGGGACATCTATATAGTTCTTGCAGTGTACTAAAGTGACTATATTATAAATCTGGGGAAATGGATAAATTCCTAGAAGAAATACATGGCATAGTAAATTGAAAATTGTTTAAGAAACTGATTCTGTAAGCCCAGATGGTTTATCTTGGCAAATTCTAAACATTTAAGGAAAAAATAAAGCCAATCTTATATAAACTCTTAAAGAAAATAAAAAACATTCTACATAACTCATTACATTGGGCTCTACAAATACTAAAACCTGATACGGACATTATTAGAATAGTTCATAGATCGTTATCACTCCTGAACCTAAATGCAAAAAATCTTACTAGGCAAAATATTAAATCTAGCAACAGAAGAATATATTACTATCCCTTTGAGCTTATTCTTGTTAAAATGGCCATAGTTAAGCAGTTCCCTGGTGTGTCACTTACATAAAAGATCATTTATCTGGGAATTTAAAGATCAAAATTCATATTACAATTTGATGTACCAAGATGAAAAATGATATACTTATCGAGAAAAGCACTGAAAAGCTGTCATTTTCATCTAAAAAATCACTGCATTTAATGAAATGAAGATCATTTAGTTCTGAACAATATTAAGGATAAGAGAAAAGAAAGTGCCACCTGTTCTAGGTGCTTGGGAGACAAAACCTACTCTCATGGACCTTACCACTTACATGGTAGGAAGTATAACATATAAATTAATACGAGGAAAGGATAAGCAGGATAGGTAGTGCCATGGGGTTTCACTGTGAAGGTGATATGCGAGCGATCTAAAGGAGACGTGAGAGCAAGTCATGAAGGTATCTGGGGGAAGTGTGTTCCAGGAAGAGGGAAAGGACATGTACAAGCAGTCCGAGATGGAAGCCTGCCCGCTATTTTCAAGGAGCAGCAAGGAGGCCGTTCTGACTAGAGTGGAATGAAGAACAAACGGGAAAGTGCTAAGAGATGAAATCACTCAGACCAGAATGACAGTTAAAACAGAAAGCAGTGGAAAACAGCAAATTTTTCATCTGTCTGAACATAAATAGCAAAAAGAATATCCTGACACACTGGCTGTGTGGTTGTAAGGGAACTAGAGTGAAACGGTAACATCAACTCTTTCGCGCTGGCACTAATAATTTTCAACCTACTTATATGTTCAAACATCTTATTTTTCCAATTATTATTTTTATTTTTTTAAATTTATTTATGATAGTCACACACAGAGAGAGAGAGAGAGAGAGAGAGAGAGAGAGAGGCAGAGACACAGGCAGAGGGAGAAGCAGGCTCCATGCACCGGGAGCCCGACGTGGGATTCGATCCCGGGTCTCCAGGATCGCGCCCCGGGCCAAAGGCAGGCGCCAAACCGCTGCGCCACCCAGGGATCCCCTGTTTTTCCAATTATTAAGCGCTTTTATTATTGTAAGTTAATCTCAAGCAGTTTATCTACCCATATTAGGGGTAAGACTCCTACAGTCGGATATGCACATGCTGCCTGGGAGAGGAGGGGGGACGTGCAGGGCAGAGCCGGTCCGAGCACGACCGTGACGGCTGTACCTCTGTACCTTCTCCACCAGGATGCGGTCCGTCTCTTGCACGCTGGTATCCGGCACTTGCTTGTCCAAATAACCGACGGGGTACAGCGAGTCTCCCTGGCCACCGCCCCGGTCACTTCGGCCCCTAAGGCACCAAACCAAGAAACTAAGGCTGCAGCCTCCCACCCTTCATATTCCACATTCCCGCTCCACTAATCATGGAATAAAGACCCTCAAACACACCCGCCCAGACGAGAATACGCCGTCTCGTGGGTCCGTCAGACCTCTGCCTATTGAGTGAGATCAGGATCCTCTGAAGATTAGAAAGCTCCACGTCACAGAAGCCGCTCGCTCCCCAGGGCTCGTCTTTGCGCCTCCCATCACTTTCGGAGGGTCGGACCCGGGGGGTCAGGTCCCGTTCCCGTGCGACCGTTCTGGATTGAAGGCTGTTTACCGAGCTCCGCCCCGGCTCCTCACCTGCTGCCTCCTCCAGGCCCGCTCAGCTCAATGGCCCACTTGAAACGCCGGCCTCGGTTGGCCACCAGGCTCCCCTGGGCCGTCATGGCACCCGCCTCCTCCCGGAGCAGCGAACCTCCTCACTCTCCGGCGGGGTCTAGGCCCTGGCCCCGGACGCCGCTACGTCTGGGTCTCCCCGCGGCCCGCTTCCGGCGCTTAGCATGGACGTCACTTCCGGTCTCGGGGTGGGCGGAGCCTCCCTGGGGGCGGGAGACCCCGTCGCGGAGGAAGCCGGGCCGCGGCTCCCCAGGTTGTGCAGACCCGGGGGTGTGCCCCCGGAGCTCCGACGTGCACCCGAGCGAGCGAGCGAGCGAGCGGGAGGGCGGGGGTGTGGCCCGCCCTGCCTCTGCGCTAGGGGCGAAAGCCGAGCTCGCCTTCTCGAGTTCCCAAAAAAAGCTGGGAGCAGTGCGGACCCGGGCAGCTTATGGGCTTGACACGCGGATGGCCCCTTTTGATCCTAGCTCTTTACTTAATTGTGTGACTTTGGACACGTTAAATATTTAGTGCTTCAGCCTCTTCGTAGGTAAGAGTTGGATAATCCACCTACTTTAGGACGCCCGGGAGGCTCAGCGGTTGGGCGCCTCCCTTCCGCTCAGGGCGTGACCCCGGGGTCCTGGGATGAGTCCCGCATCGTGCTCCGGGCATGCAGCCTGCTTCTCCCTCTGCCTGGGTCTCTGCCGCTCTCTCTGTGTCTCCCATGAATAAATAAATCTTTAAAAAAAAAATTACCTACTTGCAAGGCTTATGAGCGTAAAAGGAGTGCCTGCCACGAATGCATTTTTTTTTTTTTTTAATTAAGAAAGTACTCTAAAGGAGCGCCTGGGTGGCACATTAGGTTAGGATCTGCCTTCAGCTCCGGTCATGATCCCAGGGTCCTGGGGACACAGCTTTATCCCTCCTCCCTCTACCTCTGCCCACTCTCCCACCCATGCTCTCTAGCTCTTACTCTCTTTCAAATAAAATCTTAAAAAAAAAAAAAAAAGCACACTAGCTATTGGATTTTTGTATTGAGTTCTATACCTATATAATAATATAACCTGTTATTGGATACTTGTTTCCCGTTTTGTTTCCCCTTTTATAAACAGTGTTTATAAACCCTATGTCTTTTCTTACTAAAATTCCTAGGAATGCAGTTGCTGGATCAAAGATTGCACTTTTTTTTTTTTAAGATTTTATTCATTTATTCACAAGAGCCGCAGAGAGAGGGGGGGGGGGCAGAGACACAGGCAGAGGGCGAAGCAGGCTCCATGCAGGAAGCCCAATGCGGGACTCCATCCCGGGACTCCAGGGCCAAAGGCAAGCTCTAAACCGCCGAGCCACCCAGGGATCCCCAAAGATTACAAATTTTTAAGGAATTTTCATTTTAAATGTCTTCTAGCAGTATCTATTTGCACCCATTTGCATTCCACCAGCCTTATATTATTTTTTAAATTGGTTTGAAAATGGTTCTGTATTTTCAGACTTTTATTCCTTTGACTCCAAGTTATCTGATATGGTCAGGGTTGGGGTGAGGGAAGAAGAGTGCTATGAGAGTCTGTGGTTGGGAGGTGAGGTTGAAAAGGGCCAATTAGAGACTTTGGACCCTTGAAGATGATGGTGATCTAGAGACACTGAAGATTTCCATCCCCACTTTGTCTTTTCCTCTTAAAGATATTTTGTGTTCATGGCAGACTGTTTGAATAAGGCAGTAATGGAAAAGGCTTTTCCCCTTCCAGTTCATTCTAAAATGTTTATTTATATGATCATAGGAAGACCAGACCTGTGAATTGCTTTCCTGCTTCTTTCTACTTTTCTGGCTTTATCTGTTATCTCTGATGAAACTTTGAGACTGATGTCAGACTGTACAAGGGTCTTGGCCCTATTGGGCAATCTTCTTTGTCCCAGAACAGTCTTTGTTCACTTACCAAATTGCACTTGTGTTTGTTGACGTCCCTTGAGCACGTATCTACCCCTCTTGCTGCACTATGCCCTAAATTCCTTTAAGTTAGGAACTACATGTCAATTATTTTGGATTCCACTGCCTAGAACATAATGTATTGAATAAATGTTTAGTGAATATGAGCAAGTTAATTGAAAGTAAATATAGTACTGAATATACTATAATTACATTTATGTGAAAAAATGTAAAAACTCGAAGAGAATACATGTTAGGGTGTTATATATTCAATTAATGGTTTCCATGCAATTTTTTTTTGAACAAGCTATTGTCCTGCTTCTTAAATAAATTGTAAAGCAACACTTTTGAAAACATTGTCAGTCATTCAAATCATATATTCCTTCCCTTTGAAAGTACTCCCCCACTTGCTATAAAAATGTTTTCACCTGTAACCCCAATCAAGGTGGTTTGGCCTCATGTTAGTCCAGGTCATTTATTCCTTTATCCTAGGAATCCTTATCGTGTTATTTGCTAAAACGTGTTGCAGAGAACATGAAGACAGGTGATCACTGGAATGGAATTGAGAAAGGATTCCAGAGTCAAACACATTTGAGAAAAACTGCAGATGCTATTCTGCACACACACCCTAGAGATTTCCAGTGGAATTGGTAGAACATTAAAACGGGATCTCTGGGTGGCTCAGTGGTTTAGCACCTGCCTTCAGCCCAGGGCATGATCCTGGAGTCCCGGGATCAAGTCTCACATCGGGCTCCCTGCATGGAGCCTGCTTCTCCCTCTGTGTCTCTGCGCCTCTCTCTCTCTCTCTCTCTCTCTCATTAATAAATAAATAAAATCTTAAAAAAAATCATGAGAAATGATTCAGTAGAATCTCCTTTAATTGTTTCCCTTCCACCTAAATGAGAAGCTCCCCCCATTTTTCCCCTATCACACCTATTAACTTCCTATGCAGTCAGTGATCCATAGAATACAGTGAGGCAACTTTCCTTAAGCATGCTAGAGTTTTTCAGGAAAAAGAGGAAGGTACTTCCTTAAAAGCTCTGCTTGTTTCTCAAGATTATTAGAATATCATAAGAAAGAATAGATCCTTTATAAAAATGGAGTTTTCAAGTTGAAATTCGATTGAGGATTCAAGTTGGGTTTTTGTTTTGTTTTGTTTACAAATTATATTTTTCAAGAATAATCAAGGGAAATCTAGATTCTAATCCCGACCTGTGTTGCTTTGAGTTAGGAATTCGGCCTTAATTTCTTCATCTGTAAAAAAGACACTTCTACTAGATGCCTTCTAAGGGTACTTTCTAATTCTAAAATATATTTTTTTCAAAAATTTTGTATATTACTCTTTCATATATATTTGTAGAAAAATGATAAACACAAAGGACTAATGGGATTTCACATAATCTTTTTAAAATTCTGCTTTCCTATGCTTTTCCTAGTTCTGCATTGTGCAGTTACTACTTTTGGATTTAGAAAAAATGTCAGTAATATAACGTGTGTTTCCACACCTCAAAGCATGATGGTTCTCTGTCCTAGATTCACCAAAGAATCACCTTGGAGCACTCAAAGAATACTATTGACACCTGGGTCACACTCCAGAGATTCTAATTTATTCGCTCAGGGTTGATCATGGGCATCTACTGTACAGCAAGAACTAAGAACCACTGACCCAGAGCATTTTGCTGCCTAAAAGGTTTGAACTTCCACAAAGTAATCTAAGCAAACAATCAACTTTGGGCAGCCTCCTTGCTTGCCTCCTACTGGACTAAACTTCACTTAGACTAATGGAAATACTTAACTTGTAAAAATATATGTTAAGCTTCCCTTTGTGTCTTTGAGCAAATATGACTTTAAACTGAGAAAGCATATCATAATTGCATAGGTCATGTGAGTTGTCTTGTTTGACTTTATATTTGGGCCATCTCCACAGTTTTTGTATTTGTTTTTTAATCTCACCCCCCACCACTTTAGGAGTCTAAGAAGCTGTTTCTAATATTTCACGCTGTTTTCTACATGGTCCGACTAACAGCATTAGATTCAGAACCATGATTTACTAGGTATATTCTGACCACTGTATTCTGAGGGGATATGTGAATTCTGTAGATTGTGATGGAAGACAATCCTTCCAATTCTCATGAGAACGTCAATGTGGCAGATCACAGATGAAAAGACGGCAATTTTCAGAGATAACGCCTAGCATGACACTTGACAGAGATACCTTATGAACATCATACAAGGCTGGAGGGGGTGAGGAGAATAAGGATATTAATGTCAGCAGTTACTTAAGTGCCCTCATGACACTATGGTGCAGCAATGTCACGGGCTTCTACCTTAGGAGGCTACTGGGTAAAGTTAAGGTAACGGAAATTTAACGATTTAACAGTAGCCCTGATTTGGGCCCTCAGGATAAAATGCAGAGCATCTGGTACCAATGAAAGTCTTCCACGCTCGAGCATCTTCACTCTGGCGCCAGCCATTGGGCCACCCCATCACCACCGTGTTGTGCTTCATGCCTCCAAGGCCACAGGACTGGATGAGGTGGGAAATGCCCTCCCTCAGCTTGGCCACCACCACCAGCTGGCAGAAGCCCTTCACCTTCTCTGCCTCCATGAGGTGCTTTATAGTCTGAAAAAGAGAACCTTAATGTGGAACTGCTTCACCCTGAAACTTTCAGCCTATTACCCCTCCTTATTATGTTCCCCGCCTTTTTCCAAACTCTGCATAAGACTGTATCCCCTAAAGAGTCCAAAAAGTTAAAATTAACCCAGTGCAATCTAATTATCCTTTGACATTTTTACTCTCAAGAGACCTGCTGGTTGACCACATGGGGCTCCCTCTGCCTTTCCTTCTTTGTAGCATTTCCATCTTTTTAAATATTTTAATGGTGACTACTGATGACCCTTGTCTTTGCTTTGCTATTATTTACTCAAGCCATTTTGGAGGTAACAGTTCATGTTACTCTTACTCCACTCTCTTGGTGGAAAGATGAAGGGAATGATGGTGTAGAAAGAGGATAGGATTTTCTATCCTAAAGGCATAGATTAAATCAGTATAATAAGCAAGTTCTCTTGATTTCCAATCCTGTACTTTTTGTTTTTACCATCATCTTAGACTGTTTCTTTAGCATTTTTAGTTTTTAGGGCTTCAAAGTATTCTAAAATGAAACCTAGTAAAAATTTTGAATTGTAATTATACATTTCTCTAAGCAACAGGTTTGGTTTTATCATTTATAGTAAGAATGAGAATGAAAACATGGATGCCTGGGTGG